ATTTTGAAGGTAATCGACTTAYGCGATTTTGTGGAAACGTATAGTGCAGTAGACGGGGTAAACATTTGATGCGCACTTTTCRTCGTAGTTTTCTAGTCAATCTTACTAGATCTTCCATTATTCTAAAATTCACTGATAATTTCTCTCAAAACTACGTCAGGATAAGAATTAGAACTTAAACTAATATTACACAAAATTGACTATTGAACTCATTTAAAGCGATCTAAAGCGAACGGGAGATACAGAAAACATTGATCGTTTCCCAACGATTTTATGCTCTGATAATTCTATTGTTTGCTAAACTGTCATAACATTAAATTCTTTCGCACCATGCACGGTCTCATCTCGCTTGGCTGCTTTCCGAATTACTCCCGCCCCACGGGGAAGAAAATAAAAGTGAAGTTCCCGCGTCATCTTTTGAGCAGTTTATTTTAATGTCAACTGGATAATTCATATCTTTTGCAACAGAAATGTGTTCCCCGACAAAGAAATAGATTTAAGTGTTCAATATTTATTCCAGTTAGTACCAGCTTATTTGCTTCMCTTTTTGTTTGTCTTTTTCTTTTTCTGTCTTTTTCTTTATCATAGAATAGAATGAAAAGCCATTTTCCGATCGATGGCTTAGAAAAACATAATTATTAAATGCGATGAAAATCTTCGGTTGGGATTTACGAATTTGCAACGTCCCCTGTGATTGGTTAGGTTTAGGGGCGGGGTTGGGGAAAGGGCATTGTTTTCTATTGTCCTACAAGTGTGTAGGATCACATCTTGCAAATTCGTGAAGGACGACCCAAAATCTTACCGTCTTCKTCTCATCCATTATGACTACGTAAACTCACAGGAGGAGCTCACTCTGTCCCAGTCCCCAAAACGGAAAGGTGCAGTCCCCGGTCAGTCCCTGGGTTGCAGCCGAAGCTGTGAATTGAAGCGCTTTCCCCCGACCACCAGGGAACCAAATATATGTGAAAATAGGGTGAAATCCCCACTATATATGCCCCCGGGTATGCCTCAGGAAGGGGGGGGGGGGTACGGGGGATGTCAAATGACTGGTGCATTAATGGAGCGGAATGGTTGGGAAACCTATTATATTGTTCTCGATTTTGTTCCATTGTTATATGATGTTGACCGTGCACAGAGAAGGAAAAGTTGCTCCGTTTGTTCATAGTATTCGGAAATATGAGTTTTTCTCCCTAAAAAAAACCTTTTAAAATATATATTATTTGTTAATTAATCCTATATGATTAATACAAATTATTCATTGATAAGAAAATTGCCTTATTTCATGCTTTCTTATTTATCATCTAGCAACTTAACTGTACATGTATCTGCGCGGAAATATTTATCCGCATAGTTTGTRGTCATCGTATGAACGTTTTCACTTTCAAAAAGTTCATACATGAAAATAATAAGGAAATGAGTATTTTTAGCCATACTTGCTTTGGTTCATTGTGCACCGTCAGTATCACGTGATGGTACGGATCAACATCAAACTCAAAACAATAGCTTTGTTCTATGGAGATTCCAAACCATTCCGCTCCATTAACTATGGTTTAAACATTAAAGTGGTACAAGCACCTACAGCACTTAAGGTTTAACCGGTTACGCGGACTTATAGGTCGTTCAGTCAGCCCATGACAATGCGGGCTATCGGCTTACAGTACAAACATACTATTATTTTTTTAAAATTTTATATGGAAAATTCTTCTCTTAAATTCAAAATACTTCACATTCTCTCAGTCGTTCATTCGCTGTATCTACTGAATTAGGCTCACTGAGTTTTCCTATCCTGAATAAAAGTTTGTCAATTTTTTTATCTCGGAAACCCCAGTTTTATTTTTGTTTCTTTTCTCTCCCTCTCCCTCTTTTAATTGCTTTAGTTTACAAGTTTCCATTGGTTTTGTTATCTATTTGTCAAAAGTGTTTTTAACGCTAAGTTTAGTGTTCTTAAATAATCGATTCTTTTCTAAAAAACAATGGAAAAAAACCGCGTTGCCCTTTTTGGTGTATAGTTTACATGTTTCTATTTGATTTTCCTATCTTGTTTTTGCTTTTATTTACTTTTGCAGTGTTTTAACGTACGGTGTCATTTTGGTTTGTTCTAGTTCATAAAAATTGAATTAAAAAGAGCATGCRCAGAGACCAGAATTAATTAAGAATTCAGTTAGTCTTTATCTATAACATTAGTACCGTCACTTTTGATATGGAAAAAATATTGTCCAAAACAAAATAACAAACTCACTCGTGGATTAGATTATCCTGTTCTTTATTACTAACAGTGTTTAGTCTGAGTCTGCGCTATACGTTTAGTCTGCGCGATCCCGTCGTATCACGAGTTACTAAGTAGGACAGCGACAATCAATTCTTAAGGCATATTCTGCTATACACAGATTAAGCTGATCTCCCAGTGCTATTCTCGAACGGTTATTGAACAATTGCACGTGGCTCAGTTGGCCAACGGCCAGATCACCCAGCCTCCACCGCAATCTAGTAAACACAACACTGCCTTTTTTTTCTTGGTTGGGCTCAGGTTTGAATTAATAGTATTTTGACTTTGGTGTACTTTTTTACGCTGACATGTTGGGCAGTTTTTCAGTTAAAGCCCGGAATCCTTCCAAYATTGCTTAAGTGCTATTCAAAACCACCTAAGCCCACACGAGCATAGCCATTCTTTAAGACTGTACTGTCCTTAATCAGATATATAAACCTTGTAAAGAGCCTGTAGACTCGGTAATAAAACGACAATTGGTCTATACAATTTTAACAATAACCCACGTTTTCTATGCCTTGTAAGTTCTGTAAACAATAGCTAAAAGCCACTTCCATGGCTTCACGTGCAGATTCCCATGAAAGGAAAATACTAGGGAAATTGAAAAAATATATACATTGATCCATTTAAGACTTAATGGGAAAGAGTAAGGTCCTTACTTTTATTTTCTTAAATTATCTAAATAAGTGGTCTATACGCCATTTTTGACCTTTAAAGTGTTCTGACCTTGTCCTATTGTAAGCAAAAGCCCCATACAGAGACTGCCCACCTTTGATGGGCAGTATAGTATACAAAACTGATCAATGTGCTTTTCCTACACGCGAACTTTCTACAGATGAACCTCAAACACTGTCCGTCCCATTACCTACATATCATATATACATAGTTATGTACATTTGTCTTTACGCTCGATGCAAGCGTTCGATCTTTAAATCTAGGTTTAACTTAAACCAACAATAAGTGCCCCAGACGACACAGCTTTGACCATTTACTGAGACTTTTAGTCCATCATGAGTTTTAGCACATATCATCAGAATGGTTTTCAGTTGTTGATAGTTGGCGGTGTGATTACTGTGCRAAGCAAATATCAGCTTGTACCAAGTCACATGTTGGGCTTGTAAAACTAAAAGAGCCAAGGTCTCTGTAGGCTGTCTCCTGGTGAATCGTTGCAGGAACCATATTGTTATTTGTCGTCAGAATTCCTGATAGATATCGAATGTAATTTTGTGCTAGTTTAAGCAATTGTAACTTAGTGACCTTGCGGTCGTTTTTGGTGTCTGGTATAACCYTCCTCAGGGCTTCCATTGCACCATTTATGGATTGAATCCTCCTTCTTTCCCGGTCATTTGCTCTCAGTCGTCTCAAACGCACGTCCAAAGGAGGCGATTTTCTTGAATTTTTTTCAGAGTTAGCTAGCCTTTCCTCAATGTCAAACGCACTGTTTTTGGGCAAGACTGGTTGCACTGACGAAGAAGTGGGTGAAGTCTTCTCTACTGGACTTTGAGAGTGTAGAATGATGGAATTTAATCTTATGTCATCTGCATCGGGAACTTCAGCRCTTGTAAAGCTTTTCATTTCGTTGTCTTGTAAAAATCTGTGATGAATTGAAATGTCAAGAGTTATTTAAACAGTTTACCTTCTTARTTTTCAAGAGCATTAAAGGGCTTACTATATGTAAACAAAAAAGAATTWAAAAATGTACCTTTCCGTTGATAAGTACAAAATTATATCATTCAACTCCAAATGTTTAAGTTTTGCGGTAAACAAAGTCAGTAAACGTTCATGAGGAATTCAGTAAAGATATATTAAGGTTTGAAGATAGTTACTATCGCTCTTGCTTTACTTACTACTGCAGCACGGAAGAAGGACGATAACAACATAAACGTATCGCTTTGAATTCTATTGGCTAGGCGATCATCACGTGACTTGACTTTTTTAAAAGGCCAAGGTTTATTTCATACAGAAATGTGGCTTTTCTTTTTTAATGACCAATGCTCAATGAAAACTAGAATACTAGGTGATGTCCTGCAGGGCGATTTCAATGTGCGAGCAAGCCTTTAGGACCGCTTGGCACATGAGTAGTGATCATGGAAATTAACTGCTGCCGTAAGGTTAAAAGTTGATAAATACCCAACGCAACGGCTAAACTCTAGAGATCTCAAGTATGCGATAAAACCTAAAAGGCTAACTATTATCAATGCTGTTAGTAATTGATCGAATCGATTAATCCGGTGTGATGAAGAAAAAAACCTAAATATCTTTCAAGAATTCTGATTGAAACAAAAGTAACTTTCAAAGGGCAATCAATTGAAATCGTATCACAGGATGATTGATAAATCAATCAATAAACGCGCTATAATTCATATAATTTATATATCTAAATGTTAACACTTGTGCAAATCCAGCCTTAGTTTGTTATGATTGTGACGTCACAGCGTCGCCGGCAGGTGGCAATCTCTTCGCTGATTGGCTGACAGCTCAAACTAAATCTAATGCAGCTTTTCCCACGAAAGGAGAATAGGAATGCTCTTAACGACACATGGCGCTAACAATGAGTTTTGATCTTAGCTGACATGTGTGAGCTTGGTTGGAAAATGCGAAGGTCAAAAAACAATGCTATATAGAACACTGACATGATTCGGGCTTTCTTATTCATCGGGTGGCAAATTCGAAGAATCAACCTGATTATTCTAACCCCCTAAAAAGAAAGCTTAAAGGTCTTAGATAGGTCAGCGAAGGTTATTTACTAAGTAATACTTTTTTTTTGTTACGGAAAAGGCTGGCTCTGCCAGTTATTAAGAGACGATCACTGTCGACATACCTATAGCTTGTTAGTTCATTCCGATCCTGTAACTGATCAGTTGCTATGGTCGTAGCTAGTAAATCTACGAATCAAACATTGTTTGCGCATCGTACAGTAACTGCCTCTACAGCTGTCTTAGATGTCTTTTGTATCGCAAGTCATTTTTGCGGATGCAGTTCCGAAGCCACTTATCTAGTTGTTTGACAGCGGTGAAAATGGACATTATACATTTACTAGATACATTTACTAATGTTTTTATCATGGAGAAATAATTTTGTGTGCAAAATGATGTTTTATTGGTTAGAATATGAGGTTTAATTAACTGACCGGAAAAATGATCGTTGAGTAACAAGCTTTGGACCTTGCTGCCGTATCATAACTGAGCACATGGAATAAATCTAAACTAACCAAGCATTAGACGGTGTAAATCGATAGCTCGTGTTTTTTGACTCCCCATACGTTCAGCAACCTCTTTTCCCCCTAATTTCAGGATTTAATAAACTTTTTATCAGACCAATAATGAATATACTACAAAAAGATTTAAACAATGAGACAAATGAATATCAAGGAATTTCACGCAAGTAGATTCCCTCATAAGTACGTAAGTTGATTAGTGAGAAACGACACCCTGGGTTAGAAATCGTTTAAAACACACTAAAATCAGTATAGGTTATTCTGTAATGCACGAAGTAAACAGAACTGACCAAAAACGACTCCTTTCGCTACGGTAGAACTCTCGAAAGTCAGCGGTRGAAATAAGGTTTAGAGAAGATCAGATTTTAGTTACAAAAAGAAGTTAATGTAATGAGACCGAGCTGTATAGATTTATGGAAAAAGACAACTTTCAATAATTGACGTAAATCATTTTAAATTTAAAAAAGTCCTTTTATAATATATATATATATATATAT